GGTGTCTAAAAGGATTCTCAGGCCAGCAAAAACCAATCACATCACACAGGTGACTATCAGCAAGCTGTCAACTAGCATTTGAATTGCCTAAACATGGAAACTGCTGGCAGTAGAAGGAAAATACAAAATAAAAGTACTCCAAGTTTCATTGAAAGGAACAATAAGGAATCCTAATCCTAACCTCCATGAATAATTTACGTTCTCACAACTTGTAAAGAATTGTTTCAGTGGTGCATATGGCTATCCATAGTCTTCGTTGGAGAAATTTCTTTGGACACAATTTAGGTCAGAAAAATACCTTATGTACTATGGAAGCAATGGCGAACTGAAGACAGCTCCACAAGAACAGAGCTGATGATCTTGTTGAAAAAATGATCCGGTGAATGAATCAGTTTTCCTGAACTCCTCACCAGATTAAGAGAGGGATCTGGGATTGTCCATAATGCTCCATACTGATGCTCCCCATGACAAGACTGAATAGGTAAAAACAGTGGTCTCCCGCAAATTTTAGAACTCTGGCAGTCAAAAATCAGCTTTGCTCAAACCATGGTTCAAAGCCTTTAAAAAGACACCGATTTTGCCCTTTTAATCACTTTTGCTTGAAATGGCTCATAAATTGCTTTTTGCATACTAAGATCCTTCAGAAGGGCACAGTTTATTACACTAGGTAATTTTTCCTTCAATCCTTAGTGAAAAAAGTTTCATGTGAGTTGAAGAATTTAAAGAAAAATATTTTATTTCAATATAAGCAGCAAAGGGATGATTAGAACGTTGATTTTAAAAAGTTTTAAATGTACTAAGGGGTCAGATTGACTAGAGTAAGATTCTGAAATAATTATAATACTTGTTGTGATTTGTTTTTTAAAAAATCCATTAAAATATATAGAGATCTTTAATTTCAGTGTAAGAAATCTTTTCCTGAGAAAATGTTCTGAATGAGAGAAAAACATGACAAGAGAAACCCTTAAAGGCTGGTAGCTAAAGGTGACTATAAAGATAATTCTAATCTTTATTAAAGATTAGAATTAAAGGAGAAAACCCCTAATTCAGAATGGAGGAAAGTATTTTATCTCTGGAAGAATATTTAGCAATAATGTACTCAGAACATTCTGTTAAGATTGTCTGTTTCTATAAAAATGAGATTAAAAGAGGAGATAGAAGATGATACAACTGTGAATCAGGCTGTTCTGGATATGATTCAAAGTTGACAGGATGCAAAAATAATATTGACAAAAAGGAAGGAGTTCCTGAGAAAAGATAAAAAGAGAATGAAAAAAAATCTTTTGGGACACTACCTAAAAGAAATGAAAATCAAGACTTTTAAAAGTAAGAAGTGTTATAAAGTTGGCTTATTTGATCAAGGTTAAAATGTATATTTTTTGTAGTGAAATTGTTTTTTCTTGTCCAGAACTGAAAGAGGCTTTAAATATTTGTTGATAGATAAAATATTGGAATAGATTTTTTAGTTGCTGTATTTTTAGAGGAATTGAGAAGATGGTATTAAAAGCGAAGTAATAAACTTTTGAAGGGGTTTGAGAGAAAAATAAGACAAACAGTTAATTATTTGAAGAGATTAATCATCCATTTTTTAATTGTTTCTGTTAGTCTTAACGGATTTTTAAAAAGTAAATAAGACTTTAAAGATTTGTTTATAGCTATGAGATAAGAAATTGAAAGAGGGTTTTTTATTGTATTTCGAAAGAAAATGGCAAATTATTGTAAAGTGGATATGAAACTGATATACTTGTTTAAGTTCTAAAAATTCTTAATGAACCATTACTGTTTAAGATTGAATGATGGAGCTTTATTTTTTCCTAGTAGATAAAAGATAAAATTTGGTCGAAAACTTAGAGAAAATAAAGTTACTGAAATTGTATTTGTCTTGAAGAAGAACAATTTCTTCCTTTTTACTTTTTAAATATATTTTTCTTCCTTTCTACCTTTTATCTCTACACTTTTTTCTTAGTTTTCTTATTTGTATTAGTTCTTTTATCTTTGTATCTTAAACTTCAATAAAAAAATATAAGAGAAGTTCTTAAGAATGTTCACCTCTACTCATCGGTGCAGCATAATTACATGAGAAACTTCCTGTATCTTTTGTGGAACTCATACATCCTTTAGTTTCTTCTATAGGTTTCCCAGTGCTCAGAATGATGTATTGCCAGGGAATTGTACAGTCAGTTTTTGATATATATCAGGCAAACAGAAGCATCATCAGGTAAATCACACAGCACACTGCCCCAGCTACTAAATTTAAATATCTTAACGTATACTTCTAAATCTATATACCTGTAGGTTTGTTTTTAAATAGTGCTGAAACTATCAGCCTTCGCAGTTAGAGCAGACTAACTGAAACAGGACAAGTTAATTCTACTTTATTGTAAGGGGTACATTAACAGAATCTTGCAAATCTGAAAGTTCAAATTCCCATCAGTCTCTTTTTACAGTCTGATAATTTAGGAAGGATGTTCCAAAGAGCTGAAGAAGCTTCTTGGATGAGAAGTGAAATGTCTTCAAAGAAAAAGTCCAATTGCCTCTTGAAAAAACACCTTTGGGACAACCATGATGTGGATGATAGAGAATCTCCACGGACCTTTAGGAAAGATGCTTTCTGAGTTTCCTTCCCTGCATGTGCCATGCAGCTGCAGTTTCTATCACCCTCTCTCCTATTTGAGCATTCCCTAAAAAGCATCTTTTACCTCAGACTCCCAAGGTCTTTCCTACATAACATTATAAAAACATAGGAAATTAATTCTGAAGGTCATTTGCCTTTTCCTGTATTAATAATTTTGAACAAGAAGTTTGCTTTTTATCCCACAAATATTGAAATATTTTTGCTTTGCACTTCTAATTTCCTAATGAAATTTTGAAACTATTCTATCTTATCTATCACTTTAAAACTTGTACACCCACCCACACAAAGGCCTTCAATATCAGCTATTTGGAACTTAACTTCCATTGAATACAATGGTGGTTACTTCCCAATAGAATCCCTAGGGCTGCACTGCATTACACTAATTCTGTTCATGTTGCTGGCTAAGAGAGATTTTGAGCTTCAGTTAAAAAATGAGATGTCTCTAAATGACGATAAAAAGTTGCAATGGACCAATTATCATGTTTGAAGAATTATGAAGTGTGAAGGACTACAACTTTGAAGAATTTAGCTAAGGATACAAGCAATATCTACCCGATCCATCAGAGCGGGGAGACAAGGAATTTTGCAGATCCCATCCCCTAGGAAGATAAACCTGATAGGACCCAGAAGAAGGGCTTTCTCCATGGTGGCTCCCCCTCTTTGGAACATCATTCCCCCAGAGATTGAAATGGCCCACACTCTAACACTCTTCCAAAAGGTATGGTATGGTATTAATTTATTTATTTGATTCTTTTGTATTCGTTTTATTGTTTTAAATGTTTTATATTCTGTAAGCCATCTTGAGTCACCATGTGTGAATAGACATCAATATAAATTCAATAATTAAATAATTAAATAACTAGAATTCTAAAAACCTTGGCTTTATCTTCTCAGTTCCCTAGATGAGGCACTTCTCTCCCACTTTCAATGTAAGCCCCTGTTACTCACATATTTCAATATAGTAATATCAAGTGATGCTTAGAAAGTTTTATCCCAAAGTTTTAATGCAAATTTGCACATTTGGTCAATGTTAAGAATTACACTCAAATGATTCCATCTGTACATACTTCAAGTAAATGCTACAACAGGACTATTAGCATATACAGAATAGATGCTGCTGTGTTACTGATACTACCTCTTGACAGATGAAAAGGGGAAAGATCTCTCTGAAGATTTTTTTTTCACTAATCCTTTTACCTAAAATGCCATAGACTGCTATTCTAGCCACAGCTCTGGTTTGAGAACTGACCCAATTTCTAGGTAGCAAATTTTATCAGTGACATAGAACAAATCTACAGAGGCTGTATTTTGATTTACAGATGAGTTCTGCATTTCTATTTCTTCCTTCCTTCCTTCCTTTCAAAAATAGATACACCGGCGTGTGTTTTCCATACAAATTACTCCAAGTAATATATGCTAAATTCTGCAGAGCCCATTTGGCCAAAGTCTAATAACCCCCCTTGGGAGCTGACACCAACTTTCAGCAATAGCCCACTGCTGCAGATTAGCACTGGAACATATGCTGCAGAAGCATCCTGTCTGCCTTTCTCACATTAAGATTGTATTTTCACTATCTCACACAAATCCTTTGTCTTTTTCATTCTGTTTTTATAGTGAATAAATAAATAAAAATTCTGGCAATTCAAATAAAAATGCAATTGATTTTTGTAACCATTATCAAATTTTGCATCTCACACCACAAGCTCACTTTGTTGAATTCAAGATCATTTTGCATTATTCATGGGTTAGCTTCCCTACTAACAAGTGTGCAATGTTTTGTGCTGAGCTACTTAAGTTTCTTTTTAAATGAAATAACCTTCCTTCATTCATTTGATTTTTTTTTAAAGCTACATTCAGTTTTGGAGTCCACATAGGCTAATTGACAAAAAATAATAATACATTCAATGGAATATTAACTTAAATAGCCCAAAGCAAAAAATAATATCCACATGGGCATCATTAAAGTTACCTCAAGGAAGATGTAATCCTATCAAAATGGTAGGCTGCAGTTCAAATATTAACTAGCGGTTATGTTGCAATAATTATTCTGTCTTTACATAGGTTATTGCATGCATTGTCTCTGCATCTCTGCAGAGTACTTAAGTTATTCAATGAACTCCTTTTGTTTAAAAAAAGACAAACCATATAATATTTTCCCCACTAAAAATGCATACCCGTATCCATACAAGTTCAAAACATTTTCAACATCTAATCTTTCTTCTAAATTTCAGCAATGACGACTTTTTCAGGAAAACTGGAACAGGCAGCCTTTTCTATGTAATTTCAGCAGTATCATATTGTGCGTTGTATAGCATGCAGTTGCTGAAGACACAATCTAAATATGAGAAAGTGGTTCAATACTTACTGAAAGCAGCCACAGCCAGAGCCAGTGTAACAATAATGGAGGCCCACGAAACCCACAATGCTTTCTTTCTATAGTTTTGAGCTTCATGAGGTTTTAATTTTGTACTGCTTTCTAGCAAACCTGATGAGAAGAAACAAACATATGTCTGTTACTTTAGTCTGTTCCTTGCCACAAATTATAACTGGATTTGTATGGAATCTACCAAATACGCCCCTATGTGTATTTGTATCTTACAGTACAAGCCAATCAATCATTTTATTGCAAATAAGATGTGTTGATTCAGTTCTGAACCTAGATTTCTATAAGGCTGAAGGAGCCTAATTACCGCCTGGAGCATACTGCAATCATACAGAAGGATGTGTATATATGAAGGTTTCCTTACGGCTCTGCACTTACACTTCAATTCTTAATTAGATATCAAAGCACAAAGGAACGCTTCCTTGGGATGCTGGTCAGTCAAAAGCATAAACCTGCTTTTGTGGTTGGTGTGTGTGTGTGAGAGGGAGGGACAGAGGGAGAGCAAGAGAGAGAGTGCTGACATATCTACAATAGATATAGGTGATAATAGAATTTATTTCCATTTTACTTTTTTTTTCCAATTCTAAGTTTATTATATCAGCAATTTTAACTTATCTATTTAACAACATTTGAAAACTGTTCTTGCCTCCCTCCTTTTTTTAAACATCATTTTAATTTTTTGGATAAAAATCAAATTCCTACTTTGGTACTATTATCTTACATGGAAGCACAAATAGTCTTATCCGTAGTCAAGGCCTTAACAAAGCCATTCACAATAAAATAAAATAAAATAAAATAAAATCCTAATTTCTGTAATAGGTGAAAGACATACAACCTTTCTTCCCATACCAATCTATATTTTCTAATTTAATATGCTTACTATTGCTATGTAATTAAAATCAATGCATTCTAATTGAAACTAAAATAACTAATCCTGTTAAATTAAACCACATAAAACAGATACTCTGTTCTTCCAGCTGAAAGTGATTTAGTAGTTATTTAGTTACAACTGTTAATTATTTAAAGACCTATGTAATATATGACACATTTGCAATTATATACAAACATAATATTCCTACAAGCTATACAGAAAAATATTTTATCTGCATCATACTTCTGAGCCAGGTGCACAAAATTCCTCTATTATAACTGTTCAAAAATAAATTAAATTACAAAAGGCAATACAAAAATTGATAAAATACACATTACTTAAAGGCCAAAATTCCTGGATAAAATTATTCTCTTTTCAAATAATTATAAATGCTTTTATATCATAAAATTCTACTATACATTGTGATGTGATGGGTTTTATATCCATCTTTATTTAAAAATGAATGTTATAATTTATTTCTGCTCACAACGTAATGAAATTTGTGTTGCATAAAATATCATATTTTATATTTTCTGATTATTTCTTGTTCTGTTGATGGTATAAATTTCTCTGCTTTCTAACAAATGGGATAGAGAAAAAAATTATAAATAATATTCTGAGAGGCTGACTTTAAACTTTCCAAATGGGCTGCACCTAAAACCTCCATTTATTGGGGCCCAATGTAAAGCACCTGAAAACTACAGATTAACAAATAAACAAACATTTAAGGATAAAAAATATTTCTAAGATTTCCCTGGGAATAATCAACCAGATTAGATTAGAAGAAATAAGGCAAATATAGAAATAAGCTTAGTGGATTCTTTGTCTCGACCATATATCTATGTCCCCAACACACAATTTTTTTTCTTGTTGATCATTTCAGTTCCTCTCTATTATCTGAGCAAAATCTCTGCAGGAGATTTAAAAGGTAACAGTGGGAGGAGTATCCTTGTTTAAATAAAGACCATGCTATTCCTGGCCCCAAACTCTTGAAATTGTACCTTACATATAGTTGACACATTCCTCTGAGTTGCAAAGTAACAAGCAAGATACCTCCAGATTACTTTTAATTTAAAACACTGACACCACCACACCATTTCATTCACCCCCACCCAATTTTAGACAATGGAACTTACTGCCAGAACATTAGCTGGGGAACAGATCTAAAAAAAGCCACTGAAAAGAAGAATTAGAAACAATAACTGAAAGGAAAGAGCAAGGAGTAAGTTCAAAGGAATGTCTGAATTCAAAGGGAACTTCCTTGCCATTGTGGGAAACTAGAGACTGGGAGAGGGGGGCTGAAAAAAATGGGGAAAAATATGCAAAGGCCAATGAATAGGCACGTGCAGGGCAGGTGCCACCACTGGCAGGAGACAATAGACCGAGTGTCCCTTCATTGTAAGGAAGGGTGGAGATGGATATACAGCATCCTTTCTTTGCAATGAATGAGGCGGCCTGCTTGCAAGTCAGTGAATGCTTCTGGATTTGCATTTTGAATGCTAGCCTTCAAGCANCTGCAGGCTACTTCTGCAGGCTAATTTGGCAGTTCAAATCTCACCAGCCTCAAGGTTGACTCAGTCTACCATCTTTCCGAGGTGGGAAAAATGAGGACCCAAATTGTTGGGGGCAATATGCTGACTCTGTAAAATGCTTAGAGAGGGCTGTAAAGCACTGTAAAGAGGAACATAAGTCTAAAGGCTATTGCTACCTTGTCTCTTATTTTACCATATACCGTGCTACCTTAGTACTCAACTGCTTTGAAACTCATCAAATTTGGTACCCAATGCACTTGATATGAAAATTTTATCCCGGTACTCATTGTTTGTTTGGCACTCAACACACAAGCTAGAACTTGTCAGAGTTGGCTGCCTTGTGACTCACTATATCATTCCTTATGGGGAAAATCATTTTTGTGCTCATCATTTTTGGTACTCATAGCACCTCCCGGAACCAATTAATAAGAGTGCCAAGGTACCATTGTATTGTTTTCCAGATAGACCAATCCTAGTGCATTCATTCTCAACATTTACTTCCATATAGCAAAGTAGATGGAACCATGCAGAAACATTTTCACTTCTTACAAAATACAGGAAGCTGGTCTCCATCATGAAATAATTTCATTTCCCAGATTTTGTTCACTATCATTTCTTATAGTAGGATCTGAACTAGGAACATTTAACAATCTAATCATATTTTTTTCATTCATTCTTGATCTTTTCCTTTGACAAGGAAACTGTAAATCCAGTCATGAGTTATACATACAGTTTTCATAGACACATCAGTGTCACTTCAGACACTCTCTATGTAAAGTTGTAAACAAAGCAGAGCCATATTTTAATAGTTCTTCACTCACACCGTTTTCATGGCAGACTTACCAATTTTAACATTCTCAGGGTATGTATGTACGTGAATGTGAATATAAATATAAACTCTACATTTATTTCAATTTCAGGCTTCCCAATAATAGTAGTTCTCAAACAAATCTCTAAAATATTATTTCAATATTCCTTCACTTAGGTTTCATCTTCAATCATTTAATCACTTGTATTTTTACTCAGCTATAGACTGCTTGCTCAGCCCTCTTCATCTACCTCCAAATCACTATTCATTTTCACCCAAATGGTATTTCCTCTTATTTTTATTTCTAACCATCCCTTGCTTTGTAGAACATCACAACAGTAATCAACCCTTATATTTCCCCATAAAATATACAGTCAAATTTTCTGGCTTAGTGAATTATCCTTTTGATATTATTCTGATCATGTCTTCTTGGCTTTCTGATACCTGCTTATTTCTTTTAGCATGTCTTTCTTATATTTATATCAACTCAGGGAAAATGCTGTTTGTATAGTTAGAGCAATAGTTTAATAATTTATACATTCATTTGCATCTCCCGTCTTTGATATAGGTATTTATGCACCAATCTTTTTTTAACCTGAGACTGCAATCAGGTTCACCGTGTGTTGATTTATTGCTATTTTCCTGCACTGCAGCTAAAATATCAAGTATTTATTGGATAATCACTAATTGTAACAAATATTGTGTTCTCATTTATTGAGTTACACTCAATCATATAATTAGTAACGCTCCTAATGCTGTAAATAGAATATCATACAATAATCTGAGTTAAAATACAGCATACTAAAAACAGTGTTAATTCACTTCCATAACCCTAGTACAATACCTAACAATAAATTAAGATTATTATAACTCAATGCTGGCAATTCTAAATGAACCCTGACACCATTTTGCAAAAGTGAAGCAATGAATACCAAAGCAGTAAAAAAAAAATGTTTCTGATGTCTAAAATCCTTTAATGAGTATTATCTTTATTCCATAACAGAAAATAGACATCAGCATTTCAGGATGAAGTATTTTATATTCAGGTTCAAAATTATAGCATGTTCTCTATATACCTGCATAACCTTTCCTTCTTTCTTTAGGTTGACTGAAAAGAGGAAATACATATTAAAATATAAACTGCAATACCTAAAGAAAAGATTCAGCATAAATCTTGCTTTCTTCAGAATCGAATCCCTAACACTAAGATAATTGTTGGCAATTGTTAGAAATGCTAATAAATCAATAAACAAACAAACAGATTTTAAAGTTTGGGAGATTGCAATCAAAACACATTGGAATATTGAAATAATAGGAAAGAATAGAAAGAATATCATTCCACTTTTTATGTTACGGAATAAAGCAATGGATAATCTATTTGCCAGATCTGTTTTATCCACCTAAGATCAGTATTTTTTTCTGTTCATTGCATAACAGATATTATGAAAACCTGCCCTTTAGATTTTTTAAAATCTTTAACTAAAATTTTATTTTACTTTTTTACACTTCATTATATCTGAAATACTATGCCTTGTTCATTAAAGTGATGAGTTGGTTTTTGCAGACCTCATATCTCACATGTCAAAGCCATGGAAGAGGCTCCTTTGGGTATTATTAGTTCCACACAGCTGGAAATGATGGGCTGATAAATGTTTACTGCCAAAGCAAAGCAAATCACAGAATAGTAGTTCTATTGTATCATGAAGTAAGGACTAAGTAATATTAAGGATTTATTTACTCAAAATATTAATGTCCCATATCCTACAAAGAGTCTCTTATCTACAGCACCTCTTAACCACTCTTTTTCAATTGATAAGAATTTGAACTTAATTTTAAAAACTTAGTTCATGCTGTTACACAATGGTTCGAGGAAATATGTTGCTACACTCCC